GTTGACGAGAGTCAAACGTGTGCTTAGTGGCACATGCTTGGGAGTGGAAATTTGATATTTGATATTGTCTAACGGATCCTTTGAGCCTGTTTCCGAAAGGTGAAGCTCAATCATTAGCTGAAAATCCAACGATAAGATAGTGATTGTAGGTTTCGTGAATGAATTTGATTCGCGGATATCATTGGATATCGCGTTCCATCTTAAGAGGATATGAAAGATCTTAATTTGTCGTGTAGAATTCTATTGAAGTGTACAAGACAGTACGGTAAGGTATTGTGTACAATAACTTGTATTGTAGTGTCCAATAGTGACGAGTATTTCTAAGGCAAATCGATCAGTGGTGGTGATGGGTATCGCAGAAAGAAACGAAGAATTCGTTGGATAAATTTATTAGCTGTATTGTTGCATCACGCTTGAGAGTTTTGAGAAGATATTGAAAGTTGAATAAAATAAAATGAGGGGATATTCAATAGAATTGAGAATTGCTGAGCATTATTCAGCTATTGTGAAAGGGATTGAAACGATTTGAAAGGGTCAATATTGGAAATGTTGATGGTGTACAATAATGAATAATCGCTTGTGCTAATCGCTCAAATTGTTCATGCACCATTTCATTTGTTTACCACATTTTTCGGCAAAAATTTTCGTGATTCCATCCATTTTCAGTTAGCAACTGACAGACAGATTTTCGGTGCTCATGAACGGCTGCTGCTTATAAATAGTGTTCGTGAGTATAATTGTGATTCGTAATCAGTGTTAGAGACAACAATGTCGACTGAAGGGAAGCAATCGTCAAGTATGGTTAACGGAAGAGCCACAAGATTGGTGGTGAAATACGCGAGTGATTCGGACGACGACGGTGGTATCAAACTGAAATCGCGCAGCTATTTGAATATTCTTCAGCAAACAACTAATCACAACACAGTCACCACCAATCATACGAACAACCAGTGCAGCCCCACGAATTCAGCCTCAGCTAAACACCACTCAAAACGCCAACGGTATTCTCATCAAACGGCCAATAACATCGCTACAACCTCTGAAGGAGCAGTCGATGANTAAACGAATTCAATGCCTCGAATGGAGTCAGCGGTACAGTTGACGTTGTGAAGTGTGAAACGGTCAGCTGTATATTGCGTTTTAACTGATCTTATGCAATTTCGTGATATATTGTTTGATACTTAAACATATCAATACTATTGCAAGTATTATTCCCTATGTCAGTAATGTTATCATTATAACTTTAAGTAAAATTGGTGGTCAAAATATCGCCCGTTTTCTGTGGTGCAATTAAATGAGTTACTAAATTTCTCTGGTTATTTAGTGATAATCTTTTATGTGGTAACAGATCATCGAATTGAAGGATAAATTAGGCGGGGATGATCACGCAGAGACATCCGCATCGATTCGTACTGAAGATTACCGCGGGCCACATATGAAAGATATGGAAGATAGTAGTAGTGATGAGCGATTGTTGAGAAGGAAAAGTTCGAAAAGGAAACGACCGCACAGGCGAAATTCAGATATTTTATCGGAGGCACAACGTTAGTTCTATTTATTATTTTCATTCAGTTTTGTTTTCTCCAGATTATATTCTGTTATTGAACAGGCCAGTTGGTTGTACGTGTATTTACGTATTTGGAAAAATTTCTATGGTATTTTTGAAGAGAATTATTGGTTTTGCCATGTATTTTTG